CCCGTCTGCTGTTTTTGTTTCATTCAGATTTTTTATGTAGCATCACAAAGCTAAAGTCAGACAATTTTGTTTTTGTTTCAAATTTCAAAATTTTACAATCTAAATAACATGTATGCAGCATCTTTGTTTGGATCGTGATTAAAATACACAGGCAAAACCTTAGTTTACTTGCATGGAGTTATTTCTTTTATTTGTATTATTTATTTATTTGATTTGGGATTTGTTTTAAAATTTCAATTTAGTATATTGTTTGACATTTTCAATTTCACAAAGCAGTGTGCAGCCTTTTGGTCAGAGAAATAACAAAAGGACACCTTTTTATCTTAAATCTAAATCTCTTAAATCTAATTTTGTTAAAAAAGAAATTGTGAGAAAATTGTATTGTGAAATCATATCACGATGAATCACATCACATCGTGAGTTGAGTGAATCCCTATATGCTACTAGTTTTTGCTGTAGTATCGAAGTAGTAAATTGTTCTTTAAATAATAAGTGTTACTTCAATAATAAAGAACCATATTTTTTTTGCTCATCCGAAAAATTATCTGATCTGTGATTCAAAATGTGATATGATAATATAATATAATCCGAACCGTGAGATTTGTGATCCGTTGCACCTCTCTTGACTTGTTATTTGAAGAAAAAATACATTATCTTTTATTCGGGCAAGTTAAATTCATTTTTGGGCAACCAAAATCTGAAGAATGCCTGCCCGAAGGGCTACTAGGGATTTTGAAATTTTGCGAGCCCTGATATGCATTAGATCAGTTCCAAACTCTACTGAGCAGCAGACTCTCTGTTTACCGTCTACATAGGCAGCAAAAATAGAATAAATAAAAATAAAATAAAATAAATCTACTGCTCTTCATGGACAGCAAACATGTTAATAGTCACTCATGCATGCCACACAACTAGTGTTCATTATGATGTTTAAATACACTCACAATAGATTCTACAGGGTTCACATATTTACTGGTCAATGAATTTCCAGTAACTTTTTTTTCTTCCTGTGACTCATTTACCTGCAACTTTTCTAGTCATTTGTGAAGACTAGATTAGTGTTTTCATAAATAACAGTATAGAGAACTGATCATAACTAGAAACATACAATACCATTCAAATTGTTAGGGTCAGTATGATTTGAAAATAAAATTAAAAATTATTACTTAAATAACTACTAAATTTATTTATTAAAAAGTTGCATTAAAACTTTTTACATGGCTATAAAAGAAAATATCCTATTTCAAAAATTGATGTTCTTTTGAAATTTCTATTCAAAGAATCCTAAAAAAAAAAAAATCATAAGGATCATGTGACACTGAGGACTGGAGTAATAACTGCTGAAAATTCAGTTTTGCCATCGCAGTAGTAAATTATATTTTAAAATATATTGACACAGAAAACAGCTGTTTGTTTCAAATTGTAATAATATTTTACAATATTACTGTTTTTACTGTAATTTTGATCAAATAAACACAGACTTGGCGAGCATAAGGTACTTTCCAAAAAAAAATCTTACTGACCCCAAACTCGTCAATTTAAAATCTTAATATATTAGATATAATTCATATTTGAATATATGAAGTATACAATATTATGCAAATATGCACATTTAAATATGAATTATATTTAAATATTTAAATTTAAAATGGACATTTTTCTTAAAACGTTCTGCCATTTTGGATGGCATTTTTTTTATTTAGCTTATCACACTGCATTCTGGAATTGTCTTATGCAGTGGTTCCCAACCCTGGTCCTGGAGGCACCCCAACACTGCACGTTTTGCATGTCTCCTTAATCAAACACACCTGATTCAGGTCATCAGCTCATTAGTAGAGACTTCTAGACCTGAAATTGGTGCGTGGAAATTAGACATGCAAAATGTGCAGTGTTGGGGTGCCTCCAGGACCAGGGTTGGGAACCACTGGTCTTATGTACAAATGACACTAGATTTGCATCCAAAAAAAATAAAAATCTAACAAGGCAAAGTATCTTAATTTGAACTTTTTGTAATAAAGCATATAACTCCTTAACACGTTGCCTAGGTGGGCAGATCACTCAGTTTAGTAACAAAGCAAAGGATAATAACAGGAAATCAGACTGAAACGAGGTGCATTAGAATATGTTGTTGATGTATGTATGTATGGTGTTCATCTCACCAGTGCTATAGTGTTGTGACGCTGGTAGCCGTGGTTCATGGTTGGTGAGGAACACAGAGGCGTTCTGCTGACTTATAAAACTCTCCAGTGCCGCGTCTGCGTGCTCGGTGTGCTGATCCCGCTCTTGATGGCTGCTCTGGTGTCCCTCCCGAGAGATCTGAGACACAAGTGTGTCGTCCTCAGTCAGGTAGGCGTATGGACAGTACTCACGCGTGCGCGAGTAGATGTTGGCGTTGTCGTAGCAGTCTGAGCAGATGACCAGAGGGCCTGGTCCACCTAAAAACACAAACAAAAATCAACCCATTAGCTGATTAATGAGGCCAACTGGTGAGAAAAACAGCCCACTTTGCAATCACATGTGGGTGAGTAAATGACAGAATGTTCATTATTAAGCAAATCAAATTATATGAATTTTGGGGATAAATGTAAAATTTAACATTACCATTAGTGATATTTGCCTGTCCCTCTCTGGGTTCACTCCGGTGGAAGCTGCTACGTCCAGCAAAGAAAGAGCCCACACGATTACCCAGCATTCCATTAGCATCTGGATCAACATCACCGCTCACTTCTCCGTAACATACTCCTGCTGAAACACATCACAACACGATAGTATTATACATCCATCATAATGATATGTAGAAACTATACAAGTTGTCAAATTTACAGCCTTTCTAAAGAAATAAACTTTCTCGCTAGAGGAACACAGGGTGACATTACCATCAGTGCCTTTGTGGACGTAACCATTAGCATGAGACGGCATAAGCTGCTGGTGGCTTCCATTCTCTGAGTTACTGTAGCCCTCCTGAGGCTCGGACAGCGTACCCTGAGACGAGAGGTAACTGGGAATGTCCGCTGGAAGGTTCAACTCATCTGGAATACACCAACAGAGAGATTTATACATTAAAATTCATGTCATTTGTCTGCATAAATTTGTATGATTTCAAATTATTCAATTTTTGGTCCATGCTCAAACTGTTATAATGGCTATTTTAAGTAGTAGGTAGGGCTGTTGCATTTATTACATAATATCCTGACGGTGATTATTTGAAATTACTGCAATCACTGTGTAGTTTAAAATCAATTACTGGCATTCAAAAAAGGAAATTTTGTTGGAAAAATATGATTATTGTGGATAATAATCCTCTTTTTTTAACTATAATATTATATTGAAGCACTGGGTGAGGCTCGGACAGCGTACCCTGAGACGAGAGGTAACTGGGAATGTCCGCTGGAAGGTTCAACTCATCTGGAATACACCAACAGAGATTTATACATTAAAATTCATGTCATTTGTCTGCATAAATTTGTATGATTTCGAATTATTCAATTCTTGGTCCATGCTCAAACTGTTATAATGGCTATTTTAAGTAGTAGGTAGGGCTGTTGCATTTATTACATAATATCCTGACGGTGATTATTTGAAATTACTGCAATCACTGTGTAGTTTAAAATCAATTACTGGCATTCAAAAAAGGAAATTTTGTTGGAAAAATATGATTATTGTGGATAATAATCCTCTTTTTTTAACTATAATATTATATTGAAGCACTGGGTTAAAAGACCACTTAAAATGTATTATAATTTGAATGGACCAAAAAGGGGAATATTTTAAATATTACAATATTTACTATTTTTTACCTAGTAAACATTTATTTATTTAAATTACATAATATTTCATTAGAAAAATATAATATATTTAAAATAAATTATATTTTATAAAGACAGTATTTTCATTATTCTACTCTTCAATTTTTATTAAACACCAAATTATAAAAAGTAGTAAAAATACAAAAAATTTTATATTACGTTAAAATGTAAATAATTGTTAGACTGTTTATGAAAAACATATAATGTTAAATACTGTTGCATTAATTTTGCTTTAAAATCATAATATCCCAAATGTGATTAATAATCCAATCACATATTGCATTCAAAAAAGGGAATTTGAGAAAAAAAATATATATAAATATATGTTTCATAAATCACAACAGCTCTACTACTAAGCATTATTCTCTATTAATTAATTATCTATTAATTTTTCCTATTAACTAGACATTATATAATCATAATCATTATTTTATATAGTATATACTATTTTTCATTTTAGTTATTTAACTGATACATGCAAAATTATGCACTGACCTGTATTTGTTATGCTGTAGTCTTCATTCTTTCTCCTCATGTGATAAATGACGATGACCCACACAAGTGAGGTGCCGACAACGCAGCAGACGACCACCATCACAACAATGCCAACTGTTGTCCATCCGTCCTGACTGTATATGCTGGTCACCGGGTCACAGTTGGCCGAGGGTGAGACGCTGACGTAGATATGACCGCGCTCTGTGCCGAGCGTGTTGGACATGATGCACGTGTATTTCCCTGCATCAGCAGGGTTGGCATCTACGATTATGAGAAGCTGATTGGCTGCGGCGAAGAAGTGGCGTTCCGTCAACACCAACGGGGAGTCGTCTTTGGTCCAGTTGAGGCGGGGGTTGGGGCTACCACGAGCTATGCACTGGAGGACAGCGGTCTCACCTCGGGCAACGTTACGGTCCTCTAGAGGGCGCTGGAAGGACGGGGTTTCTGTCAAAAAGGCCAGAGATGTTTAATTATTAAATGTAAATAATTCAAAAGAAAATTTATTTTAGTAAAAAAAACTATACCTAGCACAGTAAGAGTGGCATTAGCCGACAGGCTGCCCGCCTCGTTTTTGGCTGTACAGCTATAGACGCCCATATCCTCTGTCTTCACATTAGCAATGAAAAAAGTGTCATCATCTGGCATGACATGCATCCTTCTTTCACGGGCCGCAGGGAAATTGATACCGCCGTCTTTCTGCCAAGCGATCTGCGGTGTCGGGTGTCCCTCCGCAGCACACTCCAATCTAGCGACCGTACCGGTGCGGATGCTCAGGTCCATGGGCGTCTTCAGGAAGGTTGGGAGCTCTGGGAAAAGCCATTACAGAGTTATTTTCACTGATTTACTCAAGTAATTCCTGAAAGTCCTGAAATATCTAGACGACACTTGTAAAACTTGACTACAATAACAAAAGTGTCACCAAAAAAATATGTTATTCCAATGATTTCTTTCATATACAATAGTAATTCCTCAATTGGGAATTATATGCCACTACTACATTACATAAAGGAAGTGCCTAAATAAATATAATAAAAAACACATAACATTTATGATTTATAATTTTCTACTTCTACTTTATCCAATCAAATTTTGGAGTATCTGAGGATATTATTATTTATTATCCATTTGTGAAGTGGTCAGGATTTAAAAAAAAAAAAAAAAAAAAGGAAATGGAAATGACCTAAACCTTTTCACAATTAAAGTGGAACAAAAACATAAAATGTAAAAAAATATATTTTAATAACTAAAGTAATGTAAAATGTTATGTAATTTGTTATTAAAAAATAATATTTACAATTTAATTATAATATTTAAATAATATAATATTAAATAATAAAATATATATTATTAATAGTAATAGTAATATAATAGTAATATAATAGTATATTATTCTTTTTCTCATTCTACCTTCTACAATATTTATGAAACCCTTAAAATAATTTTATGTAAGGAAATGTATGTAAGAAAATGCCTAAACAAAAGCAAACAATGCAAATGTTATATTGCACTAATGTTATCATCATTTTCTACTAATAAAATATGACAACAGAATCTGTTTAAATAGCTAGTACAAAAACAAGCAACCCAATGGCCAATCAAACCCTAAACAGCACCATTTGCATTTACAGTGTTTGCTTTGTGAATCATGTTTCTGTTATTGTCATATTCTATTATTAGGTTACAAATCCGCTCTTCCATCAGTATCATGAACTGATATAAACATAATAATTACATTGCTAAGGTCGGCATCCCAGAGGGCTGCTATGTTTGTTCAACAGATATGGAAAATCAAACTGACAGAACTCTGAAAACAACCATGGAGAAATGAGGGTAAATAAGGAGAGGGAAAAAACAAATGCCAAACTGCTTATCAAAGCATTAAAGGGATCATAGCGCTTTAGCAATACACCAATACAAAAGTCCTGCAGATGATCACATAATCGACACTTTCAATTAATAATCTGACACCAGCAAACACTTTGAATTCTGTGACTAGATCAAAAAAATAAAAATAAAAAATAAAAGTATATCTCACAACGGTGCGAAATAGAGCTGTACACAGAGGTTAGCAAAAGATCACTTCTGGGCATGAAGACTTGAATGCACAACTAAAAATGCAAATACAAACTATTAATAATATGCTACCATAGCTATTAGTGAATGCTCATTAAATTGGACTTCCAATTCACACACAAAAAATCTAATATAACCGCAATGGTTTTCTGTCAAAGATCATCAATTTGACAGAAGAAAAAATAAGGCTAAAAGCTAATTACGGAACAATTATTTAACAATATGTAACAATCAATTTTGATGAGGCACTAACCATTAACAGTGAGCTTGGCCAGAGTGGAGTAGTTGGACCCAAAATGGTTGGAGACCACACACTGGTACTGGCCCTCATCTGTGAAATTAACATTGAGCAGGTGGAGTACGGTGGTGTAGAGGAGGCGGTGATCCTGGTATCGAGCGTAGTTCTGCACCTGGGCTTCATACAGCACCTCTCCATCTTTGCGCCAGGCGGTGCTCATGGGAGAGTCGCTGCTGCTGAACACAGAGCAGTTCAGAGTGACGTTGGTCCCGCGTAAGGCCACAGCGGTCTTGGGATGAGCGCTGATCTGGGGTTTAGGGAAGTCATCTGCAAGTGAGAGACAATAAAGAGATCTTAATGCAAGAAAGAGCTAATCTTTTCTTCATAAAATTGCTTTTAAATGGCACAAGAAACAAAACAGAAAAGGTGGCCATGGACATTTTGTTACAGGGCCGTAAAAAGGCGTGAGGTAACTGTCAGGTCACTCACTGCAGACAAACTCCTCTGGTTTAATAACGAGCACACTAGATCCTGCCAGGAAGGCAGGATGAGCACAGACGGCGGTGCAGGATTGCTGGAACTGACTGTCAATCAACCACTGGCCCAACCACTGCAGCTGACAGTCACACAGGAGACTGCTGGTGTTCAGATCACTGAGGAAGACCACAATACAGCCATTATTGAGAATACACCTGAATTACACTATTATTACATACAAACACTGTCAATACGGACAAAAATGAAAAGTAAAATGCATAGATATGAAATACATACAGTCTGTAGAAAGTAAACAATTACTTACAGTGTTTTAAGTTTTAAATGAGTGAAAGCGTCAGGATGAATAGACATGATGCCATTCTTACTCAGGTCCCTGCAGAACAAATTCAGAAAGATTATTTACAAATGGAACAATACAAAACAGGAGCTCTTTGTGTTGTGCTGCATAATGAAATGAGTTGGAATTTATATTTCCACTTAGACAAATATGTACAATATAACAGCATAACCTTATTAATCTATGATCTATAACCTTGAATGATTTACAGGGTTAAAACCCCTGTAAAAAGGGGTTAAAAAGATGACTTGTATGTGGTCTTTTCTTTTGTATTTTACAAAGTTTTGATGCTCATTTCACCTAGTAAGATTTTAGCTTTTATATGGAACTATGGAAGCCTGTTTCCGCCTAAAAGTTTAAAAAGGTTTTTTTATCTTGCAACTGCAAATGTATTTCTTATAACTGTGACTTTAAAAAAAAGTGTAAATTTAAAGTCGGCATAAAATGAAAATTTTTCTAAATTAATATTATAGATATTATTGTAAAGAATTCATCCAGAACAATATGGAAAAGAGATCTGTTGCTGCTTCCATTTCGTCACAACTTCAAATTTTGTGATGTGACTTTATTATCTCATAAAAGTGATTTTATAATTCAGAAAGTGGTTTTATTCCATATTATAAACTCTCGCAACCAGCTTGTTTTGTACTCGAGGGAAGAAACATACTTCCAAAAAATATATATAAATAAATACTAAAGGGATTTCTATATTGCTACATCAAGTAATAATGAGACATCCAGTAACCGAGAAATTGTGTGCTCAAAATACCAAGGACCGATAAAAGAGACTCACAAATGCTCCAGCTCCATCAGACCCTCAAACGCTCTCTTAGTGATGGTCCTGATTTTATTATTCTGTAAAACTCTGGAAAACACACACATACGCTTACGTCAAGGCACACTTCACATCTCTTGAGTCAGCTCAAACAGCTCGTATCCACCGACAAACTTACAGCGAGTTCAGCCTCTTCAAACCCACAAACATGCCAACCAAGTCCTCGATGGCGAGGGAGATCTCATTATTACGGATGTCCCTGGAACGAACAAACATCAAAAGAGACCCATCAGAATATTTTCAAACTGCTGCTGTGTAGAACATGCTTTCTGTTTTTAATCTAAAATGTCAGAGCTGTTTTATTTAGGTGACTGTACTTCTACAACTCTAGGCAGCTCAGCGCCATTGTATGCTTTTCATGTATAATAGAAGGTTTTGTATGGACAGGCTGGTATGTGTGAGTATTGTGAGATTGTTTTCACGCACTGCTGGCTGTAAAAGGCTGACATCCCTTTTACAACTGTGCCAAAGGGATGTGGCAGAGGTTACGAGAGGTGGGCATGTTTGAATGTGCTCTTTTTCTGTGGGGCAAGCTGAAATGCAGAAACTAAACTAGGATTCATATAGGGTTTAAACTACAGGGATAGACTGTATCTGTTTGAAATGATCAGTTTTTTTATTTTATAGAGATAGAGCACAATGCTACTTCAATTTTCATCAAGGTCATTTGTAAACACAAACACACCTGTTCTTTATCCGAGAACAAATACGCGCATGTTTGATTATGGTAAGAAAATAAAAATTACAGAAAAATCAGCAATGTAATCAGTAACCATCATTTACCAGCAAAACTGTTAAAACTATTATTTAGATTAAACCTGTAATCCTTCCAGCTATTTACTGCAACTTAAAAACATGTGATATTTATAATTTTATTGTGAAATAAAAATATATATTATATAAATAAATATAATTAAAGTATATTTTGTATTTTTTCACTTATATGTTGCTTAAAAATATAAATTTTTGTGGTGAGATGATGGTGAAAATATTGGGAGAGCAAGTTAAAAATCTGAATTACGGTTCTGAAAAAAATCTTTTTCAGCAGAAAAAAGTCATCTTTAATGCATTTTATATATAAACCTAAGGCTTTCTATATATATTGCTACCAAAAAGTATCTGTATAAAATGAGAGACTGAAGAGGAATGTGGGTTATCTTACAATGTACGGATGTTAGCCAGACTGCTGAACACTCCTTCTCCCAGGTGTGTGATTTGATTGTCACCCAAGTTGAGACTCTGCAGGAGACTGAGGCCAGAAAACACCCAATCCTCCAGACGACTCAAGTGATTGAAAGACAAATCCCTGGAGACAAAACACACACACACACATGCATTACCTGAGAGCCAGCCAACAATCAAATACAACACCTCAAGGGAAAAAAAGACTCTAGAATCTAGAAAAGAAATGTGCATGCTAATTTCATCGTATTGTATATAGGATTAAATTTTAAGGTCAGGGCTGAAGTCACTCACAGCTCTTCCAGGCGATGGCAAAACTCCCAGGCATCAGCTCGAATGAGTCCGATATTGTTCTGATTTACCCGGAGAATCCTGAGCATGTGCAGGCCATACAGCCAGCCCTTATTCAGCTCCGTCAGATTATTATACTCCAACTCTCTGGCACAGGACAGAACACACATCACCCATAAATCACTACTCTGATTCGTGTGAAACAGAAACTTAAATTATAAATTAGCTACATTAAATAATCAGAAAATAATCAAACCTCCAGGTTCAGATTATGGTTTCAAATAAAGTTATTTAAAAAAAAAAAAAAATACAAAAGCCAAGTCTTATTTAAAGCTGGGTGATGTAGCCAAAACAAATACAAATAAAATAATAATAATAATAATAAATCTATTTCCAGCCTTTCTGGCAAAATTTGACACATATAAAAAATGTAAAATTGCTCTAAAATGGCTTAAAGGCTGATTTTCTCCGCCCAAAGGAACCACCACTTTACACATTATTGCCACATTGTTTAATGCAAGTAGCAAATTATAGTAAAAATTGCTTTAAAAATAATACTTACATTTTATTTTTTTTGAAAATAGCAATTTTTACCTACATATATTTTTATTTAAACATCTTAAATGATCTAGTGAAACCCTGAAAGCATTGACTCACAGCTCCTCCATGTTTTCCAAACCAAAGAGAGCTCCATCCATCAGCTTTGTGATGCCGTTGCGCTGCATCTTCAACGATTTAAGAGCCTTCAGTTCTTTGAAAATGAGACTTTCCACGACACGAATCCTGTTGCGCCTCAACTCTCTGAAAAGTGACAAAATCATAAAGAGTTACACATTACAATGAGAAAATCTAACAATCGGAGAGAGACAAGACAAAAAGTGAAATTAACTCCCCAATTGATAATATCAGGTGCATTTAGCAAGAAGTATTCTTTAACAAGGTGCTAACAAGCAAGCAACAAGGTGCTTTCACACTTGGTTCGCTTGCCTGGTCCGAACCAGAGTTCGATTGAGCCCCCCTCCCCCTGCTGGACTGCGTTCATATTTTATTTGGGTCCGAACCGCGGTTCGTTTGCGTCATCAAGCGAGCAACCGTTTACCCTGTTGCTTAGTAACGACTGCGCAGGAGAAGGCGGCAAATGCATAACATTGCTCTCTGCACTTTTAAATATTTACATTTTTGAACCGTTCGTTTTGTTTACAAAGCTTCGGTACATAACGGCACTTACGTCTGTCTTACGAATGTACTGCAAATGCTCTAAAGAACACTGAAGGCGAACAGAAATGAGATATACAGCTCTCTGCAGCGCGTCAGTCACGCTCGTCAGGAAAGTGAGTGAAACACACACACAAACACACATTTTTATCAAATAATACGTCATTAATAGCGATTTGGTACAATTGCGTTCACATCAGCAGCGAACCGTACCCCAAACCACCCTTTTTAAGCGGACTCGGGTACGGTTTCGCGGGTGCGCACCCGAGTTCGGAAGACAGCATTCACATCATCCAAACGAACCGAACTCTGATGTCAATCGAATCCGGGTGCGCACCAAAAGTGCTAGTGTGAAAGCACCCTAATTGAGCATTTCAATAACATCCTATTCATTAGCCATGAATACGCACAAGACTTGGAGCTGAGAGAGAGTGAAGACTTTATCAGGCAGCAGAGAGAGTCTGTTCTGGTTTATCTTCAACACCAGAAGGGAGCTGATGTTTCCGAAACAACTGGGCTCCAAAGAACCTATCTTGTTTTTGCTCAGGTTGCTGCCGTGATGGAGAGAGGAAACAGACAAATATCCATGAACCCCAAAAGTAATCAGAAACACAAAGAAAACGTCCATTATTCAATGTCAAAACAAAGATCAAAGCAACAACTGATACTTGAGTTGTCTCAAACTGATAACTCAAGGGAAAAGGATCACTTCTTCAGAAAGCTCTACTTAGAATTTGAACACAGTCTTATGAAAGTGCAAAACTCTGACAAGCCTGAGTACAAAAACTCACAGGTATTTCAGCTGCATGGGAGGGAACGATCCTGCCTTAAGCTCATATATAGAATTAGAGCTCAAGTCCAGACTTTCTAGAGATGAATATGGCAACAGCTGCTCTGCCAAGACTTCAGAGATTCGGTTATGAACACTGAAAATAAACAGCAGATATAGTACCATATCAACATACATGGTCATATACAATTAATGAAAAAAATGAACTTAGAGGGAAACTTACAGTGACAGCACCGTGATGTTGGATGAGGCATCTCCAAGAAAAGGCACTGTTGTAAGTTCATTCTGATTCATAGACCTAAATTCACAGAGAACAAATTATTAAAACCTGAATAACCCAATATTAAAGACTGGGGGATCTCTAAGTCTATAATGTGTACCTTCAGATATGGTAAAATACTTTTCACACCATTTATATATTTAAATACAGATTTATTAACAACAAAGCAAAGAAACTAAGCTGTATACTAAACTAGGAATAGTACATCTAAACTAAAACCAAGCTAAATTAAATAAATTAGACCGATAGAAAAAAGGATATCGTAGCATATTTGAAACACGAGGCCTTTATAGCCCATAAAGCATGATACAGTGACAATATGAAGTTCACATTTAAAGAGAAAAAAATACCGCAGTTTTATTCAGAGGCAAAAATATGTATTTATTAATGTCACCAAAAAATTTAGATGAATTTTAGTGTAATAGACTACTTACATAAAATGCATGTAAATATCAGTTGTCCTTATCTCTCAATGACATGTCTTCTTAATATTTAACATTTAAATGCTTAGTTTTATGATCAAAGCTCTGCCAGTTTTAATTTGTGGGGGACAAAAAACAATGCAATTCAATACAATGACAATTTAGCAATTGTCTAATAAACATTCCTCAAAAACTGGTATCATATTTGAGACTCATGTTTTAACAAGATTTTTCTAAACATGATAAGGGATAATCAAGTAAGTTACTTAAGTCCAGAAAATACTGATATTAAAGTATGAATAACAATATAAAAATAATTATTGCGTTTACGTTATAAAATAAAGATTTTACAGATTTCACAAAAATATTTTAACGTGCGTTTTCCAAAAAAGAAAAAGAATCTGAAGGTGGACGTTTTTAGAAGTTTTGATCATGTTGGTAATTCATGCATCAATTATCAAATAGTAGGGTTATTCTAGCCTTTGCTCCAATCAGTGTAAGATGCTTTTTTTTGTTACTAAAACTAAACTATCAAAGTTTTATTATTATGAAAACGTAACCATAACAATGACGCTATTTTGAAGGAAAAACACAGTTGCATTGGTATTTCTACAAAGGATCATCATGTGACACTTCCAAGTAATGCCGTAACGCAAGATTTGATAAACAACATAACTAAATATCACTAAAATTGCACCAAACAAACAAATGTGAACTAATCAGCTGTCAGTTGTGCGTTAGTTAGTACTGTGCACATGTGCAGCCCCTGCAACGTGCTGGAGGCTGATCAGCAGAGCATGTAAACAACATCTCCTCTATTACTCACGCATGGGTGATCCAGACTGGAGCTTCCAGAGCTGCAGCAGTCAATCTTTTCCTATTGCAATCCAGCAATTGTGCTGCACCTGGACCACCAGAACACGTACAAGGAGAAGGGCAAGTGTCCAGGCCCGCGACACTCACTATGAGCAGGAACAGGGCCTGGGGGATGGGCCAGCCCTCCGCCATTTTGAGTTTCTTGATCGCAAATGATCAATCCAAATTATGACATTAACGAGACACAGAGACTAATCTGTTTTAGAATAGAAATATGATTTCATATAAATCCGAATTAAGTTGAAAAACATTGCAAAGCTCTGATAAAATCAATCCGGAGCCATCTTTTGGCTCTCTCAGCTCGTCCCTTCGAAATTCCCTACTTCCGCCTTGCAATCTCTGCAGCTTCAAGAATTCCCAAACGGAGCGTCAAACAAGCTTCAAGACGCGGACATATGGTTTAGGTATTCCGAAAGATTTCATGTCCTATATAAGATTGTCTGTATGCATTTGAGAGAAAAATTAAGTATAACTGAAAATCGTCTTTCCAAACATTGTTCCTCGACTTTTTCCCCAAGGAAAAACAAAAGCGCCTTCTTCCGTTGACACGTGATCCACCCCTCTGTCACGTGCTGCTGGAGGCCTCGCGTCATTGGCCAGTCGACTAATCCGTCAAACTTTACTTTTTCTCCAGGTTTGCTGTACTACAGGGATGGGCAACTGGCGGCCCGCAGTGTCTTTTAGTACGGCCCGCTGGATCATATTAGACTCGGACGATCAATTTTAATGACGATTAAATTTCAAAAGGCTACGATTTCACTGAATAAATTTGGTTACCGGGGAAACCACTAACGTTATATGCGCAGTTCCGAACGTGAAACCTGCGGGCAGAGAACGAATTTGTTTTTTCAATAAGCCCATCTGCTATTTTTGCTACATATTTTTAAATGTGAACCAGTGGAT